TATGTTTTGCGATCGCAAATGATTGTTTATGTGAATTTGGTGTGCTAAACATAGTTTCAAAATTGATAAACTAGGTTTATCGACTGTAAACTATAGTTTACAATTCGTTAACTATACTTTTCATCTGTAAAACTACATTTAACGGTTGTTAACTATAGTTTACGAATGCTAATCTAAGTTTATCTGTCTGTAATAAAACGTTAACAATAAATTTTGTTGATAAACATCTATTAGATTCACGTCTGTAAACTACACTTTACGATCGTTAACTATAGTTAAGAGTTGTAAACCATAGTTTACAAATCGTGAAACTGTATTTATCAGATAATCTATGTTTTGCAATCGCAAATGATAGTTTTCGGTGTTAAGTATAGTTTACGGTTGTGAAACATAGATTATCGCGTTAACTATGGTTTACAGATGTAAAATATAGATTAACGTTGTTAACTATAGTTAACAGTCCGTAAACTATACATCATGTAGTTTACAACCGATAAACCTAGTTTATCGATTGTGAGACTATGATTAGCTCAATTTTGTGAATTTGGCGTGCCATATGTATATATATTATCTTATCCTAAATTTTTACATTGATAGGGACGCGTTTTATTTTTTTACGATTTCAATAAGGTTTATAGATGGCGCCTAATTTTCATCTATAATGCGTAAAATAAAAAAAGCTCATGTATATAATACAACCAATTAAGTGTTATCTGTTGTTATAATTCCTTTTCAGTTCCTGTCCGAGTCGCCCCTCTCCATGTTCCTTCGCTGACCAACAGCAGCCTGGTCCTAACCCCCACACTTTGTACGGGGCCCTTGTGGGCGGGCCTAACGGGAACGACCAGTATACAGACGACAGGAAGGATTACGTCAGTAACGAAGTCGCGTGTGATTACAATGCAGGTTTCCAGAGCGCAGTGGCAGGTGCAGTCTTTTTATTCCCAAATCAGTATTTGTCGTGTTTTGAATGATGGGAAAATAGGATTATTTACCGCGTACTTAATGTATTTGTAAATGAGAAATTTTGACATATGATTGTTAACAGATTATAACATATTTAATATATCAGTCATATTTTTGTTCTTTTATTTTTCAGGACTGAAGCATCTGAAGTTATAGATTGTAAAATTTTAATATGTATTTTATAAAAGTATACTAGATAATAAATGTTGAACTTAATGCATTTATATGTTGAAATGGTCAATGTATATTTTTCAATACAATACTCTAAAACTAATTCAAAGTCTTGTTAGATATGACTTGTTTTTATTAAATAACAACATATTATTATATATTTCCCTTCTATTTTACCAAAATCTATATGTTGAAACAGGCCATCCAGATCCAGAATTTTTTTTTTCCAAGGGGGGGGGGGGATGTCCTCCTCTTCATTCAAAAAGAAATCCAACTCAGTATTTTGTTGAAAAGAAAAATGAAATTTAAAAGAAATACTCTCCCAAAATCCTGTTTCGTTGGGTTGTGGGTTGACTTTTCACTTCTAATGCTTCATACCTATATTACTTTTCATACCAACTTAACACAGGTGCGCGTTTTCTAGAGGGGTCCAAGGTCCATTTTTACTTGGTTTAACATATCAATTTAGTAACTATGATTTTAGTACCTAAATTCCAGGGAGGGGGATACGACCCCCCCCCCCGGATCCCACTCTAGATCCGCGCATGTTGAAGCAAGTTTTATTTTGTGACCTACTCTAGGCTTATGATATACCGGTAGTTGTTGTGCGAGGGGATGCGTGACATTGAAAAACCATCCCCCTTCATTTCGAGTCCTTTTGGGTTCCTGTAGTTTGTTTTGAATCATTTGGGGTTCTTTTGCATCCTTTTGAGTAAACCGACCCTCCGCGCACGCCAATCGGCAATCCTCGGCTGACTCCGCTTCGCTCCATTCGTTATGTGCGAGGTACGAATCATCCGAGGAACTCCGAGTGCGCGCGCGCTCTTCCCATGTTTTTCCGGTTTATCAAATCATTGTGTCCGAAGATCTATCGGTAACTATATGTAAGTTACACCTTAAATTAGAATAGACAAATAATTTGTGATCAATTTATCTAGAGATAGATTTTTTAAAAATAATATAAGGCGAAATCTTGTTGGATTTGTAAGCCGGGTCGTTATGTGATGAGGACTGGTGATCCTTTTCGCTCCAAAGAATCGGGGGGGGGGGGGGGGAATTAGGCGAGCCATATAGCATATCGGAAATTTCATAGTCGTACGATTTACCTAAACATTTAAACTTTGTAAAGCATTGTCAAAATGACAATATCTATATTTTAAACATTGCGGTTATCGTTACAGTATCTTTTAACATGTGATCCTTTTCATATTGCGTGTGAATTGTTCTATCAAATATGTTTTCAGAGTTTGGGAGATGTACGCTTCAGTCTACCTTTCCTTTTAACTGTTTTTGCACACAGTACAGCCATATCTTGCTGGTCTACCCATAATTGTTTATATTTCAATCGTGTAAAGTAGTCTTGAACTGAATGCATTAAAATGTTATATATACATAATATGTATCTTGAAAACTTTTTTATTAAAGGAAATATATTAATTGACCGTAAATGAATTCATCATCTTATTTATTCATTTTTTTTAGTGAAAAAATATATTTATCTTTAAAGAATTGTGATTCGAACACTCTCGACAAATAATTGTGTGCTACAACACCGCCGGTATGACCACTGAGACACTGAGTCGCACATACATTGCCCTTTAAATATCAAACAGTTCTATATGTATAGCAAACGCACAATTGGACTTCGAGTTTTCGAGAATATGTTCCGAAATTTACGTAGGTAAACTAACTTTTTTATATAGAGTGGGTCTTCGTACCATATTTTTGAAAATGGTGAGAGATACATCCTTCCATACCCTTTCAATATTTCTTTACAAAAAATATTACGAAGACCCACTCTGTAAAAAAGACAGTTTTAACATTCCATTTCTATCATTTTTACGGTTACTAAAGCGGTTTACCATTTTGGTGGGTTAATTACAATCAATCTGCAAGTCATTTGATTCGGGGTTTATCTTTACTGTATGCATATGGTTATAAATATTTCCTAAATTTAACAAAAAGTGGAATTTGCAAGAATTTTTTTACCTGGCCTTGCGTAGGCATATGACTCACCTTATCCCCCCCCCTCCCCCGATCCTTTGTAGACATTTTTAAAATATATTCTGTTTTTGTATTGTTACAGCGTTTTCACCACTTGCTTCGCAGCACACGTTTTTAATAATCTGTTGAAGTTGATCAGGTCGGCAGCTGTCTGAGGTTGCTTGAAGAACTCAGAAGCAATTGAACTACTAAATATTTTATGTGATAAAACAGGACTTCACATACAAGTACATGTAAGCTTCAATATTTTATGATAAATCGCTGTTTTTGATGACGATAAAAGAAATTTTTCATATAAATGCCAATTGGCAGCATATTAAGATTTTGTCCATTTAGTGTTCAGAATCAGTTCTACGTTTAAGACAATATTAAAATGTCTTTTGGCTTTATAGAAGATGGCGAGTAGAAAAGCTGTAATTCGCTGTAAAACCTGGCCTCCAGAGAGAAAGAAAGAGGTTTCGTTAGACAAAGATTCCAACATGACTGATGCAATAAGGGAAACTCTGAAGGCTATAGATTTAGAAGATTTTATCATCAGTGATGAATCCATAAAAACCATTCAGCTGGTTGCTGAACTGCCCCAACAAATGCCAACTGTTCTTGAAGGCGCTGGTGCCCAAATGAGACCAACAAGATGCCAAGAATCACTGGACGCTATTGGTGGAAGACCAGTAGTGGATTATTTAGGCCGTCGGTGGTTAATTTTCATCCGAAAAGAGGGCAAAGATCAAGCAACAGATTATTTAGTTTCATTTAATTAGAATAATTTTGGCATGATCTGTCAAATTCGTTTTAAACACAAATACTCGCAAGAACTTTTAAAATATTTGCTTTTAGGCTAGGTGCTTTGCCACTATTTGCACTGAACAGTCTTCTGATCACCTCACACCTGCTTTGTCCATCTGCAATTTCTTATTTTTGAATTTCTTTCAAGAACCTTTAGGCCAAAAGTTGTCAAAATCCATCATAACTGGATAAAGGATTTTTTCTTTAATGAAAGGCCAATTTTAATCCATTTTCTTTAAACAGATAACCAGCAAAAAAAAAAAAAAAAAAAAAAACACTGTAGAGCCGTTAAAATTAAAAATGATTTAAGTCTCTGCTATAACAATGTTTAATTGACCACCGTCATCACGCATCCATCTCTGCTGGGGTTTTCTTTTTTTATAATTCTTTATTTTTGTTTTACACATTCTGTTATTTAATACAATAAATGATTAATAACAAATACAGAAGGTGTAATTTTTTCATTTTAGAAAGAGAGAGAGAGAGAGGAGGGAGGAAGAAGAGAGGAGAGAAAGATAGGGAGGGGGAGAAGAGAGAGAGGAGTGCATGCATTCACAATATTTATATCGATCTAAATATTCACTGAAATAAAAGCTTCCAGTAGTTCCAGCAGGTATCAAACATATCCTTTTCACCATTTTTGTATGCAATATATTTTTGAGTTTCATAAAATGTATTCATAAGCGATATCGCAGCAGGTACATTAAGTGTTTTCCCTGTGCACCTCATTGTGTAGATATAATATTTAAGCCATAGAATGAGATTATTTTGTATCTTTTTCCTTTTATCTAAGAATCCAAAAATGAAATTATATTTTGTTACCGATATCTGAAGATTTGTTTTATTTTCAAGGTAATTTTCAAATTCTCTTAAAAAATCTTGTACATGATCACACTCCCAAAGCAAATGTTCAATTGTTTCTTCTTTCACTTGACAGAAGGTACAGTTTTTGTTATCTATGATTTTGATTTTGAATAAATATGAGTTTGAGGCCAAAATTTTGTTTAAAATTCGATACTGGAACCATTGCAGTTTGCAGTTGTTTGTAACTTTAAAAGGCAATTTAATAAAATCAATTTCCATTCTTTGTCGTTCAGTTCAAATATTTCATTCCACTTTCTTTTACCAGTAGGTTCTGTGCTATTTTGGTTGAGAAGATTATAAAAATTGCCTTGATTTTTTGCATTCTAAAAGGGTATTTATATTTGACAAAACCAGAGGGTTTTGTGACTTAGTGACATTTCCATCAAAATTCGCTTTCTTCATCCATGCTTTAAGAGCACTTATAATACTCCTGTACTCTAAAAAATTAATTTTAACTTGTGGATATATATCACAAACAGATTCATAAGTCAAGAAAACTCCCTCTTCATTTATAACATCATTAAGGTGTCGGATATTGGCATCAAACATGGATTTATTGAAAAATACTTTCCCCCCAACAAGGATGTTGGGATTATAAAAAAGTGGAGCATTTGATGTAACTGCAGTTGGGTTTTGTTTATGATGTAGCTCAATCCATGAGTCAAATACATCAACCCAAAATTTGGTTTTTAGTGATTTTTTGACATTTTTAATATATTCAATACCACATGTTGTAACTTTATTTATATCTAACATTGGTATAAAATCATGTAGATCTCTATTTGACAGTAGGAGTTTTCACATCCAAAATAATTTTAAGGAAGATGTAAAAGCCTTTACATTTATCATCTTTAATCCCCCATCTTCATATGTTTTAACAATTACATCCTTTTTTATTCTATGTTGAGAGTGGTTCCACAGGAAGGAAAAGAATACTTTATCCAACTCTTTATAAAAATTGTCATCTGGGTTTGGAATTGCCATAAAAATATGGTTTAATAAAGGCAGAACCAAAGTTTTGATAACAGTTATTTTTCTTATTGGTGTTAAGTACAGCTCCGTGTAAAAATCATGCAGAGGGTGATTCATGGGGGGTTTCAGAATTTCTTCAAACTTTGCATGTTGGTAGAGTATGCTAAGATACTCCAAAAAAAATTATAATTTTTTTTTAATTCTGCCATTGGTATCCATGGCAACCGATAAACTGTTTTGGGCAAAAAATGGCTGAAATTTCCTCTAAAAACAGGCAAAAATACCAATAATGAAGATTAAATGAAAAGAAAACTAAACAATAAAACAAATTTATGTTTATTTCTTATTAATATATAGCATAAGTAGTTACTATCCATATCTAGTCAAAATATTTTCATGACCAGTAATGTGTTCTAATTTTAAGCTAAAAAGGGGAGATAATCTTAGTCCCCAATAGGGTTAAGGGGTTAAGGGCTAAGGGGGGGTTAGGGTTAAGGTTAGGGTTGGGGGGGGGTCCAGGTTTGTTATTTGTCTTTCAGTAAAAAAAAAATCCAGTTTGAACTGCATGGCTTAGGCTAGACTGTCTAGACTGTGAATGAAAAATGTGACGTCATAATGACATTCTTGAAATGTTTTTTTGCACACGGCCCCAAAGTATTATACCTGTATAGTTTAGCATAAACAAAACGTAGTACCAACGTACCAATGTAAACATAGTGTAAACACCATATTTAGGGTTATATACTGACCCACCTAGCCCAGGGTTAGGGTTAGGGGTTAGGGATAGGGATAAGGGTTAGGGATAAGGGTTAGGGTTAGTTAGGGCTAGGGGGTTAGGGTAAGGGGGGGCTAGGGTTAAGGGGATTAGGGTTAGGGTCAGGGGCTAGGGTTAGGGTTAGTTAGGGTTAGTTAGGGCTAGGGGGTTAGGGTTAGTTAGGGCTAGGGGGTTAGGGTTAGGGTTAGTTAGGGTTAGTTAGGGCTAGGGGGTTAGGGATAGGGTTAGATAGGGTTAGGGTTAAGGGGCTAGGGTTAGGGTTAGTTAGGGCTAGGGGGTTAGGGTTAGGGTTAGTTAGGGCTAGGGGGTTAGGGTTAGGGCTCAACCAATCAAAACTGATCACGTGATTTCTTTCAGCCAATCAGAATCCTCCCCTATCTAGAAGGTTTATACTACTGACGTCATAATGGATCTAGCACCAAAAAGTAAGTGTAAAGTTATTTACTAGATCTTGACCTTAACTAAAATCAGGCAAAAATTGAATACTATGTGTTACAGTTACCATGGCAACATGTCTTAAAGTTAGAAAAATGGTATTTTACAACGACAAGAACAACAGAGCTATTCTGGGTCATATACATAAAGAAGCATCTTCTGGTAATGTAAATTCAAGATTGTTCAAATCATTACCCCTAAGGTGGGGGGATGTTTGGCCACATCAAGGAGATCAAAGAAATATATAAGGAATATTTTTAAAATCTTTTATTCTAAGAACAGCTAATTAAAGGTATAATTAGTCATATTAATATAGATGCATTCCTAGGTAGCGTAGATTCAAGTTTATTTAAATCACGACCCCTGGGAGTAGGGTGAGGTAACAATGAGCAATCAAAGTTTTATATAAGGATATACAGGGGAAAAATAAGTCTTTTTCTCGGGAACGGTAAATCCGTGATTTAACATATTTGCATGTATATAGAAACATCGGTCATATGGTGTATGCTGCGTGGATTGAAATTTGT